CTGCTTAAGCAGGTTCACCTAGAGCAGGGTGGACAGAAACACATCCAGGCAGGTCTTGAATATCTCCAGAGAAGGAGACTCCATAACCTTTCTGGGCAGCCTGTTCCAGTGCTCTGGCACCCTCAAAGTAAAGAAGCTTTTCCTCACATTGAGATGGAATTTCCTGTGTTTCAGGTTGTGCCTGTTGCCCCTTGCCTGTCACTGGGCACCACTGAAAAAAGTCTGGCCCCATCCACTTGACATCTGCCCTTTAGATATTTATAAGCGTTGATGAGATCCCATCTCAGTCTTCTTTTCTCCAGGATAAACAGACCCGGGTCTCTCAGCCTTTCCTCATAAGAGAGATGCTCCAGTACCCTGATTGTCTTCACCGAACTCTGCTGGACTCTCTCCAGTTATTCCCTGCCTTTCTTGAAATGGGGACCCCAGAAGTGGACACAGAACTCCAGATGTGGCCTTACCAGGGCAGTGTAGAGGGGGACAATAACTTCACTTGACCTGCTGGCCACGTTCTTTTTCACGCGCCCCAGGATACTATTGGCCATCTTTGCCACAAGGACACATTGCTGACTTTTTTCACAAAAAATGTGAAAGCAGACGTTGCACTGCTGGCTGGACGCGGACTGTCTGCTCTGTCCATAGGAATGAGTTAAACATGGCATCTTCCTAAACTATGTTCTGTGAGTCCACACTGCCAGAGGAAGCAAGTCAAGCAAGTCAGTAACAAGTTTACCTACAAGTCTGAACAGCCTTGCTATATTCAACAGCAAAGAGCCCAAGTCATTCCTCTGCTTGATGCCATTTACAAGACATTAGCCTAGAGCTTTAGCATAAATCATGGCCCCAGCACAAGCCACCCAGATCCCATGTCACCCACACCCCATGAACCTCATGTTTAAGATACAGGTGTACAAATCCATTTTGAACTTGGGATTCCAGATATTACTGATTACAGAAATCTGTGCCCCTCTTCCCAAAACGCTTTCAGAGGCAGCACATCCAAAAGCCCATCTGAATTGGTCTTTCCTCTTGCCTTTTCCCTTTCTTTCTGTGCAACTGCGTTATTATTTTTAATTATTTCTATTATTTCTCACTGGGCCTGACATTCTGGGCTTGATGTTTACTAAAGTCTGCTAATCTGCACTCAAGACAATTTCTAGGGAGAGGTTTTTCCTGCTCTTTTGAGCAGATGGGGTCCACGTCTCTTGAGGTAGACAGTGTGCAGCCCTGTCTGATGGCACCCAGGAGGATGTTAGGCACAAGGCTCCTTTCGGGAGGAGGCCTGGAACATCCCTCAGTAGGCTACCAGTGCCACAATAGAGTATTTTTAACAACAACCTTTTTTCTTTCTCACAGAGTTATTTTTGAAGCTGTATTTTCGTGCTTTTTGTTCTGCTCAATACCACTGAAACATGTTGTATAGAAATCACTGACGTAAACACTGACGAAGGAGCAGAGAAGTGGAGGGGGAAGGAAGAGAACTGGGTTGTCATTACTTCTCCCCCCACATTTTTTTTCTTTTTTAAAGTAGCATCTCCTTACCAAGCTCAGCACAGGCACACATTTTGCTTGTAGAGAGTTAGATGTTTTGCATCTGCAAATAGGACGCTATGATTTTGTCAATTCAATTCTCAAACCTTGCTTGGGAGGGGGGGAAGGGAGAAGGGATATACATGCAAATCAAATTTTATCCTTTAATGGATTTGCACTCACAGCGTGTCCCACAGCACACCATTATCTGCTTAAGCAGGTTCACCTAGAGCAGGGTGGACAGAAACACATCCAGGCAGGTCTTGAATATCTCCAGAGAAGGAGACTCCATAACCTTTCTGGGCAGCCTGTTCCAGTGCTCTGGCACCCTCAAAGTAAAGAAGCTTTTCCTCACATTGAGATGGAATTTCCTGTGTTTCAGGTTGTGCCTGTTGCCCCTTGCCTGTCACTGGGCACCACTGAAAAAAGTCTGGCCCCATCCACTTGACATCTGCCCTTTAGATATTTATAAGCGTTGATGAGATCCCATCTCAGTCTTCTTTTCTCCAGGATAAACAGACCCGGGTCTCTCAGCCTTTCCTCATAAGAGAGATGCTCCAGTACCCTGATTGTCTTCACCGAACTCTGCTGGACTCTCTCCAGTTATTCCCTGCCTTTCTTGAAATGGGGACCCCAGAAGTGGACACAGAACTCCAGATGTGGCCTTACCAGGGCAGTGTAGAGGGGGACAATAACTTCACTTGACCTGCTGGCCACGTTCTTTTTCACGCGCCCCAGGATACTATTGGCCATCTTTGCCACAAGGACACATTGCTGACTTTTTTCACAAAAAATGTGAAAGCAGACGTTGCACTGCTGGCTGGACGCGGACTGTCTGCTCTGTCCGTAGGAATGAGTTAAACATGGCATCTTCCTAAACTATGTTCTGTGAGTCCACACTGCCAGAGGAAGCAAGTCAAGCAAGTCAGTAACAAGTTTACCTACAAGTCTGAACAGCCTTGCTATATTCAACAGCAAAGAGCCCAGTCATTCCTCTGCTTGATGCCATTTACAAGACATTAGCCTAGAGCTTTAGCATAAATCATGGCCCCAGCACAAGCCACCCAGATCCCATGTCACCCACACCCCATGAACCTCATGTTTAAGATACAGGTGTACAAATCCATTTTGAACTTGGGATTCCAGATATTACTGATTACAGAAATCTGTGCCCCTCTTCCCAAAACGCTTTCAGAGGCAGCACATCCAAAAGCCCATCTGAATTGGTCTTTCCTCTTGCCTTTTCCCTTTCTTTCTGTGCAACTGCGTTATTATTTTTAATTATTTCTATTATTTCTCACTGGGCCTGACATTCTGGGCTTGATGTTTACTAAAGTCTGCTAATCTGCACTCAAGACAATTTCTAGGGAGAGTTTTTTCCTGCTCTTTTGAGCAGATGGGGTCCACGTCTCTTGAGGTAGACAGTGTGCAGCCCTGTCTGATGGCACCCAGGAGGATGTTAGGCACAAGGCTCCTTTCGGGAGGAGGCCTGGAACATCCCTCAGTAGGCTACCAGTGCCACAATAGAGTATTTTTAACAACAACCTTTTTTCTTTCTCACAGAGTTATTTTTGAAGCTGTATTTTCGTGCTTTTTGTTCTGCTCAATACCACTGAAACATGCTGTATAGAAATCACTGACGTAAACACTGACGAAGGAGCAGAGAAGTGGAGGGGGAAGGAAGAGAACTGGGTTGTCATTACTTCTCCCCCCACATTTTTTTTCTTTTTTAAAGTAGCATCTCCTTACCAAGCTCAGCACAGGCACACATTTTGCTTGTAGAGAGTTAGATGTTTTGCATCTGCAAATAGGACGCTATGATTTTGTCAATTCAATTCTCAAACCTTGCTTGGGAGGGGGGGAAGGGAGAAGGGATATACATGCAAATCAAATTTTATCCTTTAATGGATTTGCACTCACAGCGTGTCCCACAGCACACCATTATAAGCATTTACATTAGACACAGTGATCACATTTCTGAAACCTTTATCTTCCACCCATTGAAGTCAGTGGCCAAAAGGATTAGATTTCATATCTTAATGAGAGCTCGGTCCCAACAATACCGTGTCTCTCACTGCCTGTTTTGTCTTGATGAAAATGCACCTTGCTGGCACAGCTTAGTGAGAGCACTGCTCCCTCCTCCACCCTATCAGCTTTTTAGACAGCTGTGCTGTCCTGTATTTATACAGGTATGATTTTTTTATTGTCTATAAAGTAGAAAAAACCCGTAATCACTCCCAATTTTTTTTAGGCACACTTCAATAGATGTAATGCATCTATGCCTTCATTAATTTTGTGCAGTGGGCAAAAATGTGATCCTTCAGAGTGGAAACAGGAAGAAAAAGAGGGCGACGGACACAACACCCTTTCCAAATGTCTAGGACAAATCTTTATATTCTGAAAACAGAGAGTTGATTGAAAAGTTATTTCAAGCAGTAACATATTTCATCCTTACTCCTTTATCTTTCCAGGCTTCTGAATATGACCAGTAGCAGCAGCTCCAAAAGGAGATCAATTATACTGGAACAAAGTTTAAATAGTGTATGATGAATATGACAAAAACATTTCTTTGTACTTTAAAAAAAAAATAAAATTGTTCAACTGTACAGCTGTAGTCAGATAACCACCAGCTGCAGAATTTTCTATATTTAGCTCCTTACATTGTCTGCTCAGTCTACGGAGCAGTCTCCCTACAGAACAGCATTCTGCTGTACCCCTAGCTGTATCTGCAAGTGAAAATTTATTGGAGTCCTGTTTATTTTTTTTCCTGGTACTCTAGAAATAGTTCCAGTTCTCTGGCGCTTTGGTTACAAATCCACAAATCGATAAGTTTTTCCATAGGAGTATCACCTGCCATTAAAAACCAGGACTGGCACAAGGAAAGGGGGTGCTGCTGAGGGCAACTGACAACCACAGTGAGCAAAGGCACCTACCCCCTGCTTATTGTCCCTTGGCCCAGTCGTGAGGAGGTAGCTGTGCGGCTGGACCATATGCCAAGCTAAGGTCAGGGACAGTCACTCCTAGCAAGCTCAACTCCTGCATCCAACCCTCCACCTGTAGCAGGAGCAGCTATGGGTTCTCACTGCACCAGCTCTGCCTTTTCCACTCTCCCTTACAGGAGCAGCCTGCAACCTCCCATTCTCAGGAGAGCAAAACCTAGTGGTGCCAACCTCACTGAGAAGTCTTCAGGCTTGTTTAGACCACTAAAGCAAGCAGCCTCAGCTCGGAGAGCATCATTCCTATTGAAAGATGTTGGGTACCTGCACTGCAGAGCTATAAGTCAGACTTTGCTGAGCACTGGGATAGGACAGTGCTGCTTTCTCTCATGCTTCGTGGAGGCACTGCAGCATGGCTTCACACTGTAAAGCCCCAGCTCTTTCTTCAGGCATCTGTGCTCTGTGCTTTCAGTCACAGCGCAACAGCCTAGAGCATGTAGGTTAGATGTTCCCTGCCAACAGCTTAACTCTTACCTGGGCTTGTGAAGGTCTAAAAGCGGAGTCAAAGCCATTCTGCAGAGAGTCCAGAAAAGGCTGGATTTTATAGAGGCCATGCGTTGTCTGGCTCGAGCGGAAGGCCACAATGTGGAAGTACTTCAGGATCTTCTCAAACCGTGATTGTGTCATGATGAGTGCAATGCTCTTGTTGCTGTAGAAGCCACTGCTCCAGATGCTGAGAACGGACTCACAGTGGTGGATGCTGGTTGATATCATGTAGCCTAAGAAGGCCTTCATTTCCGTCAAGGTGACATCAATCCAGGCTTCATCACTACCGAACCTCTCCTGGTACTTCTTGGCATACATGTTGGTTTGGACCACCATATTCTTTAGTACGTTGTCAGGGACAAAGAGCTGAAAAAAGTCCATGGCACTGGCAGTCAGGGGCATTTTTCGTGTTGGACCTAGGACAAAAGCAAGAAGGGAAGATAAACTCACTCCAGATCATCTCAAGGAATTTTAAAGCAGGATTAACTTTCCTAAAGCAGGAAAACAAGGCCAAAGTGACAGCAAGTCAGCTAACTCCTTTGAAAGTGTACTCACAGTCTGACAGATCTCATCAGGAAACTTTCCCACTACATTCTCTGCCTTCCTCCTATATGATAGAAATGTAACACACTCTGCATAGTTTATTCCTCTGCCCTGCACACTCAATAGTTTGTAGTGTGCAGGTCTGTGAGGCAGCATGTGTTTCATTTTTCCACTTATACGCTATCTATATCTTTTACCCTCAGCAGCTGTTGAAGCCTTTCTCTGGAGAGTTTTTTCCTTGTCCATATGCATGTCAAAGCAGTGCCTTCCCCAAAACAGCCCAGAAGGAAGGTGTTCGAGCCCTCCAGAGGGAGAGTGCTGCCCCCATCACAGCTGACATGATTCCTGGGCACTAGAACCTGAGCCCACCTTTTATTTTGCCCCTCCAGTTCCTGCCCGGTTCATTGTCGTTATCCCTGTGACTTTCAGATCTGCTTCCACTCCACACACACAGCCATGCAGGTCATGTCTATGCGCTTTTGAGTTGTGTGTCCCTGCCACCCCATCGGAGCCTTACCCTGCACTCTGACATCGCCGTGAGAGCACATCACCAGAACAAGTCAAAGACACCACGTGGCTAGTGTCACTGTCCCACGTCACAGGGAATTATTTTTAGCATTGCAATGCATAGGCCGGTCATCTTCCTCCCATAATGTAATAAAACTTGTGGTCCTGTGCTGTCATTACTCTAGCTTTTCACTGATCTTGCAGCTTCTCTGCCAGTTTCAACTATTCCATAAGAAGAAAGGGGTGGGGGGAGGAAAGGGAGGCTGTAAGGGTTGTCAGCACTGTATCAGTGTAACAAGGTTATCCTGTCGGACCCCAGATTACATTAAGCTGAATTAGGAACGTTGAGCCTGCAATACCAGTGACACAGACACCATTCCTTACATCCCTCTCTCCTCTAATTCATTCCATAAGCTAATCAAGCTCCATTTTAAAAGTAGTGTTTTTCATGCTCCCACCCCGTGGCCGTGCTTTAGTCACCAGGTAAGGGCTATGGAGACAGAGACATTCTCTATTTACCTACAGAAGGAATGAAAATCAATACACCTGAGAGGGGCACCATGGATAAACCCAACGGACAGGGCAGTGCTCGAGAGCAGTTCTACATCCCTGTGTGAAAGACAGTGTCGTGACTGTAGCCCTAAGCTAAGAGCTGGATCCAGTAAATACTGTGCCTTCGTTTCACAGCCTTGGGACTGTCTGAAAAACACTCTTCCTGACCAAAAGCAGGAAGCAAACTTAGGAACGTTGAGCCTGCAATACCAGGGACACAGACACCAGTCCTTACAGCCCCCTCTCCTCTAATTCATTCCATAAGCTAATCAAGCTCCATTTTAAAAGTAGTGTTTTTCATGCTCCCACCCCGTGGCCGTGCTTTAGTCACCAGGTAAGGGCTATGGAGACAGAGACATTCTCTATTTACCTACAGAAGGAATGAAAATCAATACACCTGAGAGGGGCACCATGGATAAACCCAACAAACAGGGCAGTGCTCGAGAGCAGTTCTACATCCCTGTGTGAAAGACAGTGTCGTGACTGTAGCCCTAAGCTAAGAGCTGGATCCAGTAAATACTGTGCCTTCGTTTCACAGCCTTGGGACTGTCTGAAAAACACTCTTCCTGACCAAAAGCAGGAGGCAAACAGCTTCTCATTCGAAGTTCTGCCTAACAAGAGCAAGTCTTCCTTGCACCACATGGCTGCTTGGATCTCAGCATCAGTTCTCCCAGATGAATCAGAGCACAAGATTTGCCATTCTGCGATCTGGCTCTGCAGAGATCCACTAATTTATTGGTCAGTTTGCATTGTCCACTACCCCTGTATCTCAGCTCACATCCTAAATTACAGCAACAACTATAGTTTGCAGAAATTTTTCATGAAACTTTACTATAAGGAACCACATAAATACTATGGTTGGACTTGCTCTTAAGCCTTAATGCTTGGGTGCACTCTGGCAAACTCAAGCTATTAGAAGGACAGCAAAAATAGCACCAAGACATTGAAACAGTGAATCTTCAAATTGAAAAAAGATCCAAAAATCCAAACAAAAGTGGATTATTTTTTTCCAAGTGCGGTGGGGAAAGAAACATATATTTAAAGATTACTTTCCAATTTCAATTTGTGAGATGATTGAGAAACTGGAAGCGAAACAGTTCAGTTGAAAGCAAATTCCTCTATATAGCAAGACCAGAGTAAAGACCCCCACACAAACCATGTTCTGGTTTCTAAGCAGAAAATGTCAGCTTAAATGGCAAAGGGTTTTCATTAACAAGTGAAAACTATGGGGCCAGATAGATATATTTACTTAACCTTAACTGCTATTGCGGTAATAAAGCCTCTTAACAAAGAGTTCTCTTCTGCTCAGGAGATTTATATTCTGCTGGCACCCACTAGACTGTTGTAGCTGACATAAAATGCTCTACAACTGATTCTGTATGAATGATTTACAGCACATCACTTCCTCCTTCCACACAGCTTAATCAGGTTTTGACATCCTACAGTAGATATGGCTTTCTGATACCAACACACTGCACCGAGCATATTCCTACTTATACAGAAAGTCTTGAGCAGCTATCGAATACAGCTCCAGTGCCCAGGCAGCCCTCCAGGTGAAGCACAGAGGCAGTTTTTAAAGTCTTGCCTTTAGAAGCAGAAGTTGGGAGTGGGGGTAACATTTTAAATCTTGCCTACAGCAACCAAAATGCAGCCATAAAGCAGTAAGTCTTACCAAGTGAAATATGTCAGTCTTGAGACAGGTAGACATGGACAATAGGGTGTACTCCACCTTTAGGAAGTCAAGAGCAATTAGAAGCACAAAAAGGTATGTTTGTATGTAATTACGTTTCCAGTAGCTGCACAAGTCTACCTTGAAAAGTGATTATGGAAAACTGCCAGGTGTACTGGATAGGACCGACCCTTCTTGCCCAGCAGTCCTGCTCCAGCCACACAGAATCTCCTATCTGCTCTCCTTCAAATAAATGTGCAAGATTTGCAGCCCACTCACCATGCAGAACCCACGCAGCTCTAAAAAAGTGAGGTGAATCACTTTCTGACTCAAACATCAACCTAATTGTTGACTAAATATAATTCTGAAAGCCCCTGTATAAACTCATTGTCTTAAAAAACAGCCTTTATTGGCAAAGCGAGCAAAATTGATTCATAATTTACTGATATGCAATAAAACAGGAGTGACATTGAATTTCTGTAGGAAGATAACTGAATTTTTAACATGAATTGGGTTTTGCATAGTTAATGACTAGTCTAAAATGAATTATTTAAATACGACTTTCTATCTAAGTACACAACATATCCCATATATAGAGCCAACTGCGTAAGAAACCTAAGTAGTGAATTCGCACATTTTAAGGATTTTTACATTGACTTAAATGGCACTTACCCAGATGAAAAGAGTTCAGTGTTCCATACATGCACCACTCACCTTTCAAAGCTTTACTTAGTCAAATAAAATAGTGACTTTGCCTAGTCTTCCATTCTCAGAAAGAATACACAGTTGTGACTGTAAATTTTGGATTTTTCTCTCTCTTCTGCCCTAAAGTGTGTGCATGGAGAATATCTTAATTTATGTAGGGTTTTTTTGCTTTATAAACCAATCAGGCTGCGGACACCCAGGGTGGGACAGAGCTCTACTGAGTAGCCTCTGCCCAGGCAGCACCCATGCCAGCACTAGCACTTTGGCCTTGCTTAAGTGACTTTGCAGAATGTGTAAAATAACATAAACTTCCTCTGTTATGATACAATGTGCACACACAAACTCTCCTTCTTCCTTCTCACCCTGTCCACCAGCAAAAACTTGCACGTGCAATCGGCAGCAAGTACCTTGCCAGTCATTCCTGCTACTAAAACCTATTTTGACCAGGTTCATTCCATTTTCTGTTTTGCACTCAGAAGCAATGTCTCCCCCGGAGCCATAGTTATTTAAATTGTAAGAATAGACTCAAAATAAATGAAGCAGCTAAGCAGGGAAAGCCATTTGTGTTCATACTGGAGATAGGATCGTGGAGCGGAGGCTGGCACCTCGCCCTTGGACTGCACACTCTGCAGAGCCCATTTTGGCTCAGCTCAGGGCAAACTGCAGCAGCCTTGCTGGGTCCAAAGCCTGGCGAGATAGCAGGCTGCATGCTCAGCTTCTCAGCAAACATACACATTGCAGAAAAAACAGAAAGATTTAAGAAAAAGTTCACGTGAAACTTCTGTGTGACCATCCTTCAGGCAGTCCCTGCGTCTCCTCCTACAATCTCTGGTCTTCTGTCTTGGATGGGCCCCTACCAGTCATATTTTTTCCCCCTGCTCCAATCCCACCAGCTTCTAGTCTTCCCTACTGAGCAGCACATTAGGAAAAAAAAAATAACAACTCCAAGTGGATTAACTGCTTCTTCCTTACTTAATTGGTTTGCAGGACTATGTAATTTGAGCACATTTTTAATAGGTTAATTTATCCTTTTCCATTTTTCCCATTCTGATAACCAACCATTATTTAGTAGCTCACAGTTCATAGACTCAGAATAAAAGATAGAAAGTTCCAAAACCTACCATAATCTATTGGTGGTTACAACATAATATACAAATCTTAAGGAGGTCAAAAGCATTGTCATTTTGGGTAGGATAAATCAAATCTGTAAGAAGAAAATGCAGTGCAAGAAAATTCTCCTTTTCCTCTCCTGTGCAAAAGAGTAAGTGCTCTCATTCAAGGTGTAACAGAGGTTCGTGATAAAATATCCTTGTACCTTGAGAGGCCCAGGTATCACCATATGTATGTCAATCCAAATTTCATGGTTTGGAAAAAAACATTGTACAGAGCTAATCCACGTTGACTTTGATATTAATTTACCTTCACTAGCAACTGG